GCTGCAGGCAGCTCCTGCTCTGCACCCACCTGCCCGGGCTCATCCCACTGCGTGCTCCGAAGTTTCCCCGAGATCCTGCTGGGACAGAGCGTCCGAGGAGAGATGAACTGCTGCGGGAGGGAGTGGAGTGTTGCTCTGGCACCGAGACCAGGAACTCCTGGGAGAATGAGCATCCTGCACCGCCGCTTGCCGACTGCTTGCCGGCTTCAGTAGCAGGAGCCTCCGGGATGCTTCTGAGTAAACAACAGCTCTGTGGCCACACGTTGTTTTATGAGCTGAGTCATCAGACTGGCTGGCTCCTGGAAGGCCGCGGATTCTCCAGGCGGCAGCGGGCAAGGGGAGCGGAGCGGGGGGAGCCGGCCAGCTTTGCAGAGGGCCAGGCTCATTCGCCGGAGGTGATGGGGAGCGGGGCATCATTATGGAGCCTGCGCGTGTTAAAAACATTGTTGATTAACGGAAGTTCCACTTAACAGAAATAGATGCTGCTGTCTGCATCACGTACAGATCTGTTGGATTTCGGGCGATTATGAATGACCGCCAGTCCTCAAGAGTTTCCTGCTGAAAACTGGGTTCCCGTCCCACTCAGCAAGTTGCAGTTTATCGTCAGAGGCAATGAGTTCAACCCCAAAGTCATCGCGACATGTTAAGTCAAACTTTCTTGTTTCTTAAGCTCAATTTGCTCCTCTTTTACATGGCTACTCAGTAGGGTGTCTCGATCGATTTTTCATTAAAGCCAAGGTGCCCATATCCAGGGAATTTACCCTAATTAACTCCAGTTTCTGAATTTGGAGATTTGTGATTGGCTGAAGTCACAACCTGTTTCATTGTGTTCTCAGGAAACATACAGGCAGATCATTCACCCCTGAGCTAGAGGAGCTGGGTGCCTGTTAGGTGGCGGGCACGATGTCAGTCTCTGTGTGGGGTAAAACCACATGAAGAGCAATCGTTGCCACTGAGGAAGGAAGTAGATGCTTGTCAGTGTGCAAGGTGGACGCACTGATCTCTCGGAGGAGGTGGGGGAGGCAGGGCGGCAGGAGAGGCCTCATGGAGAGCAGCACCCTCCCGAAAGGGCAGCTGGGGAAGCTGGCCTTGGGGGGTGAGGAAGATCTATGTGTCAAGACAGGAGAGCACATGGGCTGAGGGGTACTGCACGCAAAGGCCCAGCCGGAGCCGGGGACTAGCAAACTCCAGTTTGTGTCTGGCGTTGGGATGGCCCTGGGGGCTCTTGGGGGAGCAGTTTCTGGGAGGTGACAGGGTCAGAAAGCAGAACTTCGAGGACTGAGAGTCAAAGGAATTGCATTGAAACAAAAGGATCTGCAGTGGATGATTCTCCTTCGAAGACAGACGAAGAGGCGCAAGAGAGAGGGGATGGGGGATGAGGGCACCGACAGGGCAGATGGTCCCTGGACCACAGGAGCCTGTGGAGCAGAACGGAGTAAAACTGGGGGACAGGGAGCAACAACGGTGCAGTGGGTTCCTGGGGATCCTGACGAGGAGCGGACGGCGAACCTGGGTGGTTGATGGTGAGAACAGAAAGAAGTGTGGGTGGGTCGGAGGGGGCGGGGGGCAGGGCGCAGGGTCCTGATGTTCAGAGGCAAGCTGGAGGTCAGCTCTCCTGCCGGGAGGGGCGTGCCTGTGCGGGTGAGAGCCAACGGAGAGCCGGAGGAAGGGCTCAGAGCAGATGCTGAGGGCGCCGGAGAGCAGGTGCACCGTCCCGCTGCAGGTGGATTCTCCAGAACACGTGCTCTGCCCTTTTGCTTCAACTCAAGAAAACAGCCTAAATTTAGCACCAACAGCAAGACCGTGGGGGCCTGGGTCTGACTGGATGCCCCCTGGGTGTGGTGCGCAGTCCCGGACCGGGGCCGTCTGCGTCTGGGGAACCTGCCGGCTGAGATGGGCGCAGACCGGGAATGAGAGGGGAAACTGGGAAAAGCCTTCTTTGGCGCTGAGATTGTTACCACGTACATCCGCTGATGGGGCGAAACCAGAGGATGAAATAAGAGCTTTAAGGTTGACCAGAAGGTCTGTGTAACCTGGCCCCACGTGCTGGATAGCTCCCCGGAGAAAGATCTGTGGGAATGTGGCTTTGTCCCCCGGTAACATTCTATGGTAGCCATGGGGCAGGGGTCTGTCACCCTGGCACAGTTAGCGACCTAAGTAAGGGCATCTCTTTTCTTATGTTCCCGGGCCAACAAAGCGCCTAGCTATTGAGAAACTCAATCACCCACAGAGCATGTTCGGGGGGCAGGAGTGGGCAGCCTTCATTGGTGGGAGGAGGAGTCTATAGGAACTTGGAGCTGGTGGCAATACAGTAGTCGCCCCTTATCCACGGTTTCATTTCCCACAGTTTCAGTTGCCTATCTTCACCTTGCAGTATGAAAATATTGAGTGGAAAATTCCAGAAAAACACAATTCATAAATTTTACATCATATGCCGTTCTGAGGAGTGCGATGAAATTCCACCCGGGACGTGAATCACCCCTTTGTCCAGTGTGTTCGTGCCGTGGACACTCTCCACCGTTAGTGACTTAGTGGCTGTCTCGGTTATCAGATCGACTGTCACTGTATTGCACGCTGTGCTCGTGCTGTTCCAGTAACGTTTATTTCACTTAACAATGGCCCCAAGGTGCAAAAGTAGTGATGCTGGCAATGTGGGCATGCCAAAGGGAAGCTGCCCAGTCCTTCCTTTAGGTGAGAAGGCATGTACATATAGGAAAAAACAGAGGGTTTCATGCTACCCACAGTTTCAGGCACCTACTGGGGGTCTTGGAATGCATCCCCCCATGACTAATGGGGGTTATGGGGGACCACTGGAATCCAGCTGAGCACAGTCAGGCCTGGGAGGAGGAAACCAATCCCTAATGACACTGGGAAGGAAGACTCAACAAGATTTGTCGATGACCAAGATATTCTTGTCCTCGTCTTGCTTCCTACTCAGCAAGTATGTATCTGTCAGGTGCCAGTCTGGGTGCTGAGGGACCAGAAGGGTGGCTTTCCCCTGGCGCTTGCCTTTTGGGAGAAAGAAGACACAAATGCACGCAGCCAGGATCCCAGGACGGGAAGGACCCAGTCTGGCTGCTGGTCCAGCAGGGAAGGTTTCCAGGAGGTGAGGCACCCAGCTGGGCTGTGAAGAGTGGGGTGTCTAAGAGTGATAGGGAGGGACGACACCAGGGTTTGCACTCGGTAGTGCTGGGGATGGGTGGATGGGTGGGTGGGTGGATGGGTGGATGGATGGGTGGATGGATGGATGGGTGGATGGGTGGATGGATGGATGGGTGGATGGATGGATGGATGGATGGGTGGATGGATGGATGGGTGGATGGATGGATGGATGGGTGGATGGATGGATGGGTGGGTGGATGGATGGATGGATGGGTGGATGGATGGATGGGTGGATGGATGGGTGGATGGATGGATGGATGGATGGATGGGTGGGTGGATTAATGATGGATGGGTGGATGGAGGGGTGGGTGGATGGATGGATGGATGGATGGGTGGGTGGATGGATGATGGATGGATGATGGATGGGTGGATGGATCTGCTGGTATGCGGGCTGGGAACACCATTGGTCCAGGCATCCTTGGAAAGGAAAAGCCCTGCAGTTGTCAGACTAGCCGGGTCTGTGATGAGTGGCAGACCTCGTGTCCAAAGGTGATCTTCGTCGGCACAAGAACGAACAGGTTCTTAGGGAGGATAGAAAAGAGGAAAGTTCTGGGAACCGACCCGGGAAGGCAGAGACCTAGGAGCTGCAGAGGCGGAGCCAGGGCAGGAACCCCGGATCCGAGGAGGAAGCACTTCCTACTGTGGTTGTTGTCCCCCAACATTTACCGCGCGGCCAACTCGGCAAAACACGGGCCTCCAAGGCCTCGGGCCTCCGGAGACCCGAGAGCAGGGGACGAGCACGCCCACCTGTTCTCCGCGTCA